CACACACACACGATCCAAGCAAGCAAGGAGATAGAGTATAATGATGTTTGAAAACATCTACTATCAGGTTATTAATTGGTGAAAGCTAGAGCAATGTCTCAGCGCTTAAGAGCACCCATTGCTCTTCTAAAGGATCTGGGGTCCATTCCCAGCACCCACCTGGGGGTTCACAACACCTCTTCTACTCTCTGAAGGCTCCAGGAGCGCTGCATAGATGTACCTGCAGGCAAGACACCCAAATACATAAAAATAAAGTAAAAGATAAAAATATAAAAAATAGTAATTCTTCTGAAGTTAAGCCCATTCTTTCCATGAGCTCTCAGTCAGCATCCAGGCAGGGTTTTTTCCCTTATCGTTTGTTTGTTGTTATAAACAGTGGAAATTTATGCAGATTTTTTTGGAAATAAAAAATATAAGACCTCAGTTTTTCATTGAACTTTGAGAAGGCTAGGTTGGGTGACTTATTTAAAAACTGACTCTATTATAAATCTTGATTTGCTGATTTATTGACAGAGATAACAGAATGGAAAAGAGTCCAGAAATGTACTACACTAAGTATCCAGTTGATTATCTTAGTCAGAATGAAGATTTCTTTCCTCAAATGACGTGAAACAATAGATATCCCTATTTTAAAAAAGAGAGTCATTAACATACATATATAAAGATTGAGTCACAGACTGTATCTTTAGTAACAACATGTATATAGCTATATATTTACATGCTATCTATTTACATATATGTGGAATTTTTATAAATATTATATATAACTCACATACATTTATTGAGAGCTAAGGAGCATGCATCTAAACTTCAGATTCTTGTTTCAGAAACTCCCCAACATCAAATACAAATAAATGCTAGGAGCTTTTCAGGCTACATATAAAACCACATTTGTATCAGGTGTTTTAAAAGAAATTAAAGATTACTAGTTTAATCAAACAAAGCCTTCAAAATGTAAAGGAAAATTATTTTATTTCTAGCCTATGAGTCCTCTACTGAAGAAAGGGAGAGAAACACACTAGATTTAGGCAGGCGGGGAGGCCAGTCATAGAGAAACTACGGGCAGGGGTAGTACCAATACTACAGTTATGCAATAAGCCAAAAACTCCACAGGTTCTGGCAAGTTTGAAATACACCTGGCTGTGAGAAGGCAGGAAGGGGGGGAGGCATGGCAAAGACCTGAGACTGGGTTGGGATCAGAATGTTTAGAACAATTACTATTAGTTGTGAGACATCTGTAGAAGGAGAAAGAGCACTGGACACAATACTACAAAGAGGAGTTTTAAAAATGCACTTTTTAAATAGGAAAACTTAAAAGCTGTACAAGAACTGAAATGGAATTGGATTCAGCCATATAATAATGTATTATGATTAATATCTCCATTAATAATGGACATTTCCATTTTTATACTATCAATTTGAAATTATCTTGTACCTTGAAATCAAAGGAGGCTTGAGAGAATGTTTGTGGGGGATGAATCCTTACCAAAAGACAACATATCTTTTCTAACCCCGATGGACAGAGAAAAACATTATTTAATAGGATATAATCACTAGACGTTGAAAAACATTGCTTTGGAGCTTATGATTAGATTGTGGGGCCAGACAAGAAGGGCATATTGTATTTCATTGACACTATTTTGCAGATTTTTTTTATTTGAATTAGAAACAAGATTGTTTGACATGTCAACCCAGTTCCCTCTCCCTCCTCTCCTCCCCTTCCCCCCCATCTAAAACCCTACCTATCACATGTCCTTTCTGCTCCCCAGGGAGGGTGAGGCCTTCCATAGGGGTCTTCACAGTCTGTCATATCCTTTGGGATAGGGCCTTGGCCCACCCCTGTGTGTCTTGGCTCAGGGAGTATGCCTCTATGTGGAATGGGCTCCCAAAGTCCACACCTATGCTAGGGATAAGTACTGAAACACCCTTTTAGTTTTGTTTGATTTTTCTTTACATATGGTTGTGTATAACTGGTAAAAATAATTAAAAATAAGATAAACATGTTGGAGAGATGACTTAGCAGTTAAGAGCACTTGCTGTTCTTCCAGAGGACCCACGTTTGGGTCCCAGCACCCAAGTGGAGGCTCACAATCACCACCTGTAATAGATGTTCCTACCTCAGACAGATCTTCTTGTTCTATCACCTTCATATATTGAACACTGCAGAACCTGTCACAGTCTATAGGTTATGGCTGGCAGATGGAGTCTCTGTCCTTACCAGACTGTAATAGAAACATGGGAACCATGAGAATTTGTTCTGTTCTGTGCATGTCAGTTTCAGCACTGTATTGGTACCTCCTGTTCTTTTTGATAAACATATAATCAATAAATGAGAGCAGTAAAAGAAAGGGTAAAATATTTCCAGAGCAACTGTCTTTGATATAGAATAGTATTGTAGTAAGATCTTTCAGAACCCAAAACATCACCCATGTTTGTTTTATTGATATAAAATGGGAATGAAGAGGTGATGAAATTGAGTTTATACTTCTAAAACTCTTTTAAAAGTTAATGGCTGACATCCCTATTGATCTCTCTGAGAACAAGATGGGGTGAAAAAGGAGAGCTGTCGAGGATTTTGGAAAATAATTCAATGACAAAATGGGAGAAGAAGTAAAACACATATGGCTCCAAGAAAGAGAGAAGCTAGGAAATGAGTTGTCATCAGTAAAAAGTTGTGACAGTTAATGCTGACGGTCAACTTGACAGTATATGGAGTGACTAAGAACATCGTGAGGGATCATCTACACTAGGTAAACCTCTGAAGGGTTACGCTAATTAGGTGAATTGAAGGGGGGAAACCCACCCCTAAAATTTGGTGACACCACTCCCTAGCCTTGGGTCCTTGCTTGTATAAAATGGAGAAAGAATGGTGAACACTGCTGTTCATTGCTTTCTGCTTCTTGGTTGTGGGGCATGTGACCTCCTGATGCTTTAACTTCCCAGCCAGGATGGGCTGTGAACTGAAATAAACTCACTCTTTCACTTAGTTGCTTCTATCAAAGCGTTTCATCACAGCAACAGAAAGGATACTCAGACAAATGTGTGTGTGTGTGTGTGTGTGTGTGTGTGTGTGTGTGTGTGTCTAGTAAGTTGGGGGGTTACAGAGGTTAGAAGTCAAGAGCAGTAGCATGTATCCATACTTCAGTTAGGGTGACATGATAGAAAGGATGCTGCTTAAATAACATGGAGAAAATAGGTTAAAATAAAGAGAAAACAGTTATCATAGTATTTAATGCCACAAAACTGACACCAGGCATGATGGAAGATGGCTGAACTGTTTCACAGTGGACTATACTTGCAATGTAAAATGTGTGATGAATATTAATTGGCTAGTAGCTTTATTCTGTATAATGTCATCATTGTTTCTGTGGTAACAGAAAATGAAAACTGTGGTACGTAGTGTCGCATCTTGCAATATACATACATGTAGATACATATTATTTAAACTGTTTTTTGTCTAAAAATATTTTCCTATGTTTTAATGCTCCTCTGGAAGACCATGCTCAACTTGTGTATTAACAGCTCCTTTCCAAAAGCAGAGCAATGAATAACTGGTTCTCACAAGTAAAAATTTTCCCCCAGTATTTTTAAATGGCTTATCTTGCTTTAGATTGCTTTCATCTAAAATTCCTTATTAAATTTTGCATTATGAAATAGTTGATTTTAATTGTATGTGCATCAAATAGAATCCGCAATTTGGGCTTTGATTCTTTTGCTGTTGTACTTTCTGTTTTCCTACTCAGCAGTGCAAAGGTTTGGCATCTTTGAGTGCTTTTGTAGTTATAGTTCTGCCTTCTCGAGTCATCCTCACCAAGGTTTGTAAGGTTGCTGCCAGTGTGGGTGTTACTATGAAAAATGAGGCTGCCATTTGTTCTCTAGGCAAAACTCAATGATGCCTTGGGGAGTCCATTGAGATTTCCTGGCCTGATTCACACTGTCATTCAGGGCTGAGGGCTCTGGCACTGACTATTTACTGGAGTCTCTTGTTCTGGATCAATGTCCAACCAAGAACCAGAGTGCTCCATGACAACCTTGTGGATGCTTCTGTCCAAAAATAGTCCTTTGTCTATACAAGGCTTTTTTGTTTATTTTGTTTTGTTTTCTATGAGTTTTTCAAAGTTGTTCACCATAAACATCACAGTATATGTTTTAGTAGCTGTATGGAGAGAATGACTCCCTGACTATTAGGAGAAATTACCTTCCATAATGTAAGATGCTTTGGAAGGCACCATGACCATAACTAAATATGTTAGGGCTCCAGTGGTTCCTGTTAATGATCCCAGCTCACAGCACCACGGAAGGTAAATCTTGGTATCTCAAATGCAGGATCTGCACAGGAGAACATATCAACTTGTTGCAATCTTCTGATGTGTGAACAGTTGCAACCCAGTGCAGAGACAGAAAGACAGAGACAGAGAGGGGGGAGAGAGAGAAAAAAAACCCTCCCTAGTTATATCTGTAATTTTTCAATGCTTGAATTCTTTTTAATTTCCTTGGTACCCATGAATAATCTTTTTTATTTAAACAGTGACATTTTAAGCTGTTGCATTTTTAGTTTTCCTTCAGAAAATTCTCAGCTCTTACTGAAACTTATATGTACACACACACACACCACACACACACACACACACACACACAGACCTTACTGTATGTGCAGGCTAGTCCTGATCTGTCTTTTTAGTGAGAGAAACCTGGCATAATCGTGGAAAGGTTAATGTGTTAATGTGTAGGAATTGATCATCAGCCACCGAGCATGGGAACACAGAGATTACAGTCAGAGCACGAATTGATTCAGTATTTCCCCTACTCCTGGAGGTGCGATCTTCCTATCTTCTCGCTGTCTCTCGTTTTAGTAGACAATTTATTGTTTTCACCTAAACTGGAGTGTGGAGGAGGAAGAGCTAAGCCTGAAGAGCATATAAATGTTTCTTCCAATTTATCAGAAGCTGGCTGTTGATTTGCTGAGGTGAGGAGCACACTAACCCTGACTCTCTCCACAGTGGGTAAACCTCACAAGTGTAACTACTGTGGACGAAGCTACAAGCAGCGCAGCTCACTGGAAGAGCACAAGGAACGCTGTCACAACTATCTCCAGAATGTCAGCATGGAAGCTGCTGGGCAGGTCATGAGTCACCATGGTGGGTAAAAAACGCATTTGTGATTTTTGTTCCTTCCTATCCTGCTGTGTATAGTCCTTCTTGTGGGTTAAGTTGTTCCATCTCCCTTTCTACCGTTTTCAACCGCATTGACTCTGTATGGGATTATCTTCCTCAGCAAGTTGACGTGAGCTGTTTTGGAACACACTACGAACAAGATTCTTGAGTTTCCGTGGCACTCCCAAATCAGTTGTGATAGCATGTGTTTGAATTAACACAGTAATGACAGCCAGCATTAGAGCTATATTAGAAATGCCACAGGAAAGTACTGTTGAGTCTTCCCTTGCATTTTGCTATTGAAATGGTTCCACACAAGTCTCTGAGTTCTCTTCATGAATGCTGAGGGTGTTAGCATTATAGCTTCTCTCAGAGGTGCACAATCAGCTTGGAATTGTTGGGAACAATTTATTTGGGGAACTAGTAATTTTACTTTGTACATATGCAAGAAACAACCTAGACCAAAATCTGATCTCTCTCCTTTCCCCTAAAACACATTCTGTCAGAAAACATCTCCATCCTAACAATACACTGTGGCAGTATGGAAGGTGGTCCCCATGGTGTGAGAGTCCCTCAAAGTTAATTCAGCTTAATGGTCTCACAAAGGAGAGTAACGAACTTGAATTCTTCAAATTCTTAGTGTCTCTTTTATCCTATTACTTATACCGAACCGTTTCATGCAAATAAAAGCCAAAGTCCTTCCTACCTTATTGGTTATATTTTTGTGTTTTTTTTTTATTTTAAAAGTATTGACTAATACCAGATGGTATAATTTGCTTCAGTCACTTTAAAAATATAAATATTAATTGCCTTAGATATAGACAAATCAAAGATCGTTTATCAAATTTTAGTATAATATATATATTATACTGTGGAAGTGTGCTCATTATACATTATACAGTTGGTGATTTTGTCGTTTTTATTTGAGATTTTTTTTCATGATTTTAAATTTTTGACTTTTTTGCATAGTTTGAGTCCTTCCATAAAGACTAAATGTCAACTAAATGGATGAGTGAGGATTATAGGACCCCAAGCATGGAATGTATACATTGTGGGCCTTGGGATTTGATAAATCTGGTCTGACTATCTGGTGTTTGAATATGTTGGTCATAGGTACGCTGTGAGAATTAAACGTAAGAGGTTATATAATGAATGTCTCCTAAGCAATGTTTTTCTATTAGATTTTAGGGCACTAGTACTTAGAACCAGTAAATTGGCCATTCTCCTTAATGTTACCACTGTTTAACAGTGGGGGTTGCATTTGCCTACTCAGAACATTGTTTTGTTTTAAATTGATGGTTCTCAACCTTCCTTATGCTACAACCCTTTAGTACAATTCCTTGCTCTGTAGTGACCCCAACCATAGGATTATTTTCATTGCTACTTCATGACTATAATTTTTGCCTCTTTTATGAATCTTAATGTAAATATTTTTTGAAATAGAGGTTTGCTTCTGGGGTCGTAAGCCACAGATTGAGAACAGCTGTTTTAAATTGCTGGTTTGGGGGCTAACTGGAGGCAGAGGAAGTAGGTTTAGTACCATGCAAAAGTTCTCCAGTGACTTGCCATTGTGTCATTAGTTTTCCATGTGATGTTCCCCCATTGCAATTCTGGCCTGTGGTGAGAAGACATATACAAATTCTATTAATTTATTAATCTATTTATTCATTTACAGAATTCAGAATTACATGTGGACCCAAATAAAAGCCAGAATTTTTCAAAAGTTTATCTTATTGTAGAGTGGATATAAATATATAATTATATGTATATGGACATATCCTAGAAGAAGAATCATATAACATGGAGAAATAACTATGTGTCATCTAAATAGCTGGGGCTTGGTATTGTCCCATTTGCCATATTTTTAGTCCTTCTCAAATATAGGCTCTGGTGATGAACCTAAAACACAATAGGGATGAGCTTGAAAGAGACAAGGCAGAGCACTGGGGACAGCAGGGCCAAGCCAGGGAGAAGTAAAGTGGTGACAGGTTTTGGTGTTACCAGCTTTAAATTTGTTCGTAAATATTAGATAGTGCTTCAACCACACTCACTACATGTTTAACACCATTTCATGCTGCTTACTGAAGTCATAGAATAATCTGAAAGCATTGTAAGCCTCCTTTTCCTTCCAAGAACATATTTAATAGGGAACTGCATTGAGTATGAGGAAGCAAATGACAGATGCCATGGGGGTGGGGGATGAGAAGGTGGAATGCTACCAAAATTGTCAATTGTCTCATATAGCAAGCTTGTCTTACATCTAAGAAATTCATATTTATTCTTTCCTTCTCTTCCTGTCCTCTTACCTATTTCGCTCTTTCTGTTAGTGGTATGAGTGGAGGTTTTTATCAGTAGGGCTACTACCAACTCCATGTCTGACATAGTTATTTTTCTTAGCCTTTCTTTCCCAAAATTTGTTTGTCCCCACACTGGTTCTTCATGGGAAGAAGGGTTTGAAGAAAAAGGAGTATTCATCCACTTCACCTGGAAAAGACTATCAAGAATTGCTGTGGAACATTCTAGAAATAGATAAAATGTCACATTCTATATGCCTTTATTATATTAGTGGACAACCCAGGTTAAAAATAACAAAATGAACTGACGCAAACACTGTAGGAGTGGTGTCTGAAGTTCTCCATGAGCACAGACATCGCTGATGGAAAAGTTGAGGACATCTTCAAACATGCGTAGCATCAGATCTGAGAATGAGAGGTGAAAGAGAAAGTCCATACTCCTGACAGCTGCCAGATTGTGTATTCCATGAAGAGAAGAGGCGTGTAGGCATCAAAGACCATTAGCAGATTATCCAAGTGAAATAAAAGAGGGACAGAAAGCAAGGCTCAAGTAGCAGGTTGGGAGACAAAAGCACTGTATGCTGTGCCAGCCTGTGAATACCACGATTTGATTGATAAGATGCCACTGGGTGATTAATTTCAGTGTCATCCAAAGGAAAGAAACACCATTGTAGAGTAAGGTTTGATGTCTTCCTGGGTCAGGGGACAGAATGGGCAGGGTGGAGACAGTGATGCCAGCCAAGGAAAGGGTGAAAAGGCAGTGCCAGGACAAGGGAGTGGGATGGGGCACTGAGGCATATTTAGGAAGAAAATCAAATGCTCTTATAAATATCTGTTGAACTGAAGGAAAATGAAGTCTTCCTAGAATTTGAAAATTGATAGTATTTATGGTTAGAAGAAGCAGTGTTGGGAATACTCTCGTGGATCTACCTTTATAGTTTATTCGTGTGATGAGATATGATATGAAAAGATAAATATATTTTATTCTCCATATTACACCAAACACAGTCAAAGAAGATGCCGAGTTATGGAGTTTGTTAAAAAAAAATGAAGCTATTATCGTATGTGTATATATACCTTTAATCTATATAAATGTTCTGTCATGTAATTAATACAATTGAGACATGAGCTAACTAGAAAATTAGTTTTGACTTCTAAACAGTATAGATCCAGAAACAATATGTTAAACTTCACCACATTTATAAAAGCAAAATCTCCAATTATATAGTTAAGGGGGAAAGTGTCAGGTCTTTTCCTCATGAACTTAGAAGGCTGTCAAGCTGTTTTATATGTCGGTATTCAAAATATGTCCACAAAAAATTATAGCGCAGTCCAGGGACTCCATAAAGCCAGACCTCCCAAGATTAACACTGTGACCTGTTAGTGATGCACAGAAAAAATTACTTCTAATCTCGGTGTCTTCAATTCCCTGTCTGTAGAATGAAGAGCATCTGCTTCCTGGAGTGCTTGAAAGTATTGTATAAATTATTAAATATAAAGCTATGAAGGAGTACTTACAACCAAGTTTCTGTCCGTTATTATTATTGCCAATGCGGCAGAAAGTTTGCCTTTTGGCATGAAGAGCTGCTGTGAAATTGACAATAAAACAAACTCTGTTGTAGTCACTGTTTTCAGTTCACATGAGCTTCATTGAACTTGAGACAAGCCATCTGAGTTGAAGTGGATGTGGTGTGGGACAGTCCCCACCCAGGTTTCATTTTGAGTGTTAGGTGTGTGCAAATGTGAAAATTCAGTGTAAAACCTAAAGCAAAACTGCCACACTTTGAACTACTCATTTCAGAACTAATTAGCATATTCAATTTGCAGGGCAAACCCCATCGACGACTTTTGCTGCCTTTCTGGCAAATTTTACAACAATTTTTTTGTCTGCCACCAATATTTTTTATTCTGTGTCTGGGCTTGTGATATATATTTGTTCTTTGGTTCACACGTGGACTACTTTGTAGCTTTGTAGGCTGTTTTTGTTTTCGGAATAGACTCGGTGCATATCCCAGGATAACCTCCTACTTATGGCAATTCTCCTGCCACAGCTTCCCAAGTGCTGGGGTTACAGGCATAAGTCACCATGTCCGGCATGTAATTATTTTATTAGGTAATAAGTGCTTATGAGTTTACTACTGAAAACACAAGGGCATAATCTCCATTCCACTGCCTGTTTCCTCACCACACCAATGCCATTATTTTAGCCTCCTGCCTCCTGGCTCACTTAGCTGAGTTCTGTGGTCATCTTGGTATTGTTTTTCGTTTGTTTTCCAAGTTATTTTTACAGTGGTTAAAAGATCACCTAATATCTTAGGTAATGCTTTGGAAAGAATTTTCTTCTTGATACTATCATAAATAATATCACTGTTAATGCCCATATTTCTAATTCTTGTCTTGCCTTTTTTTTTTCCAAGCTTACAACCAACAGTTACAAGATTCGTTATTATTCAGATCCAGAGGGTATCTTATTAAATGTAGAGTAAACTTTAACTTCTTCTAGTCAATCACTAGGTTACCCAAATATTGATTATTGATTTCTTTTAAAATGGCTGAGTGAAGATACCTTTCTGATTATCTTTTTCATTTTAAGGTCAGCAACAGGTATTGATAATCAATAAGTCATGTGATATGAGCTTTCATTTCATCTTTGCTTTAAAATGTTAATGTTCATCAGCTGCACACCCCCTCTCCCCCATAGATTAGAATGTATTGGGTTTCACAAAATTGGTCTGTCGTCTACAAATACACAGACCTAGGTGAATCACTTTACAGTGTATGCTGAATGAGGACAGAGCACCTAGGAGATGGAACCTTCTGCTCTCTTGTATGAGCACTAATGTTAATCACCCCATCTGATCTGTGTGGAATGTCACCCTCTTCCTAGTTAAATATCCTGGACTGGATTCTTACTGAATAGCAACTTTTATGAGTCACTTGTCTATCCTACTGAAGCCAACAGCAACTAAGGCATGTGTAACGAATGGAGTCCATCTAATGAATCAGGGCAATAGTTCAGTGAGCCAATGTGTCAGTTTGGAAATGGATTCCTTTGTCCTGCTGACTGGCTGTTTTTAGAAATAAATTACAGTCTTAAAGATACTACAGTCTACTATCTACAGACAAGTGCAGAACCGAACCTCCAGCATGAAGAATCACATGTAGGTTGTTGTGCTGCCAGTAAGACTAGGAGCTCATCAAATAGAAAATCAGCTCCAGGAAAACGTGCGGGGGAAGAGTTGTCAAATATTCTGCTGCTGCTAAGCCTTTCTGCAAAACAAGGTGGCATATGTAAATTATTCTAGAAAAATAAAGCCTCAAAATCTCAGTAGCAGTGCAGTCTAAAGTATTATCAATTTTAGTCTATCCTAAACATACTTTGAAGGAATAAAATGAGAAAAAAAATCAGATAAGCATTTTGGTTGATCACCAGTAGTAGCAACAGTTTATATCACTGAGCTGAGAGAGATTCAGATTCATAAAAATAAACCACTGTGTGTGTGTGTGTGTGTGTGTGTGTGTGTGTGTGTGTGTTATTAAAGAATATTCTTTAATGCTGTAGTTTTTACTTCCTTTATTTGGTTAGACAGACTTATTTTTTATAACACGTATCAGGATAGCTTACTTATCTGTGTCTCTCAAATGCTGAAGAAGTCACCAAATTGCCTTTTACATGGTTTTGTGTAGTACCGCCTATGGAAGATTGTAAAGAACAAGAGCCTATTATGGACAACAATATTTCTCTGGTGCCTTTTGAGAGACCTGCTGTCATAGAGAAGCTCACAGCAAATATGGGAAAGCGCAAAAGCTCCACTCCACAGAAGTTTGTGGGTAAGCAGCACAGAGGGGTGACTTCATTCCACACCTGGGACTGTGATGGGAAAAAGATATGATTCCATGTGTTAGCATATGAGTGTTGTGTAAGTGTAATGAGAGCTTTCGGGCCCAGCAGGGTCCCTCCTCCCTTCTCTGCACCAAAGAAGCACACTGAGACGCTATATTAATTATAAAGCTGTTGTCTGTTTGGCTGTGGTTTCTTATTGGCTAGCTCTCACTTAATTATTAACCCATAACTACTAATCCATGTATTTCCACGTGGTGGTCTTGGCTTACCAGACCTGCAACTCCCTTGCCTGCTATATGATGACAGCTGGCTCAGCGTCTCCACAGAGAAGAGAAGAGAGGAGAGCCATTTCCTGTTTGTCCCTGCTTATGTTCTGATTCTGCTCAGCTTCGTCACTTCCAGCCTGGCCAATCAACCAATCAGTGTTTTATTCATTAACTAATAAGAGAAACATACACAGAAGGACTTGCCCCATTATGTAACGATCCATGTCTTTGCTCCATCATTCTCTCCAATTCTATGACCGTCCATGTACATAACACACACACACACACACACACACACATACACACGTGCACACACACACATGTGCACACACACACTGCCTTAGACACATGGGAAAGTATTACAGGATGATAGTAAGTAGCATCTCAACATACAATGATATATAAAGTGAGATTATATGTTAAAGCTAACATGTTATTTTAATTCATACTGAATAAGAGATGAGATCTACACTACTGGCCACACATTTGTGGTATCTTTTCATTTCTATTAGTATCAGCTTTGTTTGACTGTTTTAATTTCCAATATTAATTCTTTGGTTATTTGATCTAGAATTAAAAAGCACTTGAAGTGTTCCCAAACTTTGCCTTCAAAAATTAATGTAGCAGTGTCCATCTAAAATGTTTCCTTCATGCACCTGCATTTTTTGTTTTGATCCCTATTTTTCATCCAGCCTATGACTTTTGAGCTGAAAAGATGAAAGATTATTTATTTTAGACTTCATTTTTCATTTCCAAGACTTTAGGTATTCTCTGGTATGCCCAGTGTTGTTATTCTTCATCTGTGCCATATCTTGTGGATCATCTCTGAGGAGAGAGGGTCTTGCATTTGTTAAAGAATGTATGAATGGTAGAGTTTCAGTAGAATTGTTAAAGAACCATTATTCCTTGTGTATGTAATATATCTTTTCTTATAGTGATAAAGTTAAAAGAATAGGTAAAATTATTACAACAGATTCTCATATTCTACCACTGGAGAACCTGGTAGGAGAGCCTTACTAAGTAGTGGCTGGGAACTAGCCTCTTCCTTGGTCATTTAAGGAGGCTATGAAAATTCTGTTGCTCCAGTAAAACCGTTGAGAGGCCTTCTTGTGAATTTTCATAGAGAACTAGCAAACCATTTGTCACATTAAGACCAACTGAAGGGAAGTAGTGAACACTCAGAACATACACATCCTAAAGATCGTCTGCCACTATTGAAATCCAAATTCTTCTGAAAAACACTCTTCCTATGATTTCTAGAACATTTGTCTCTCCCATTTTCTTCCATCTTCTCTGTTCCTCTTCACTCAACTATTCACAAGTATAGAATTCTGAAGAGTCACCTCACTAGATCTTGGGAAAGAAAACATAATTGCCCCATGAAAGACCCATCCTTGTTTCTTTTCATTTTCAAAATATCACACACACACACACACACACACACACACACACACACACACACACACACACACACACACACACACACACCACATATATGCCTCCCCAACTTATAGGTGCCCCTCCCTGTACATACAAGTTCTTTGCCTATTGGACCACACAAATAGCACACAGAGGATCAGATGTTTTCTAAGGATTGCCTTAAGCACATGCCATCCAGAAGCTCTGCTGGTACAGAGGCTGTAGGAACCCCAGAAATACACTCAGGAAAAACTCTTGAAGGATTTCTGGGATCCTTGTACAGAAAAGAGTGCAGCCTGCAATCTCCAGCATTATAAAATCCTCGTTCCATGAGGCCTTCTAGATATGCTGTGAAGTGTAGGAATCCAGCCTGGCTCTGTCTGCTGACATAAAAGAATTTTCCAAACACTCTGCTTGACCTTTTCTTCAGTTTACCGATGGCAGAGTGATACCATCAGCTGCCATGCTTCCAAAGTTGCCCTCCTTCAGCACATGTACCTGTTACCATATGACCCTCAAACGGAAGCTATTCCCTTTTCTATCTTGCTGTCACCCACGCCTCCATTTTCCAAGACTGAAAACTCAACTTCACACTTCCCGTTCTCTTTATCTGTCTGGATAATCCCACAGGCCTAGTGACAGTATTGGTCTAATTGCTGTCCATTCCATGAACCCTTCTCCATTGTGCCATCACTACATAAGTCCAGGCATCTCACTACAGCAACTTTCTGCATCCTCTTGTTGAATGAATATCATATCAGGGCATGTTCCTGTTTAAGTACGGCAAGCTGTAGTGCTCTCGGGATAAAATCCCTCCCTCTCCTGCTGCGTGCCTTGTCCTCTGGCTCATTTTAGTCATCTGTTTCCACTCTCAGCTGTGTTGAAATGTAATTGCTTATTATAAGTCATCCCCTCTTATTTCTAAACCTCCCTGCCAGCAACTCCACCTCCATGCTTCTTTACTAGCCAATGTTTTTACCATCCCATTCTCCATCCTAATATCACTTCTTTCAAGAAGTCTTCCTTTATTCCTCTTATACCAGTTAGATATACCTCTTATTTGAGCATAAAATACCTACCAAACCATCATTATCTAAATTGTAAGCTCTTTGAGAACATGGGTCAGAGTTATCTAGCTTAACTTTGAAATTTTTAAAGTTTATTATCTTTTTTTGTAATTTGATTATTTCTTTTTGTTGTTCATTTGGTTTGTTATTGTCTGCTTTTTCCAAAACATGGTTTCTCTATATGGCTCTTGCTGTCCTGGAACTGTGTAGACAGAGTCTATAGTTTAGACCATGCTGGCCATTAACTCAGAGATCCCTCTGTCTCTACCTCCTGGATGCTAGGATTAAAGGTGTGTCACCACAGCCAGCTCAGTACTTTAAACTGGATGCCAGGAGGTGGATTCGTTTTCATTACTCCATCATTAGCTTTAGGCTTTGGGGCTATTTCTTTTAGTTTTGTTTTTTTGAGACAGGGTTTCTCTGTGTAACCCTGGCTGTCCTGGAACTCATTCAGTAGACCAGACTGGCCTCAAACTCAGAGGTCTGCCTGCCTGTCTCCCAAGTGCTGGGATTAAAGGTGTGAGCCACTACCACCAGGCAAGGCTATTTCCTCAAATCTGAAATAAAATTAATGTTTTAATGCTGCCTCTTCCAGCATTGTCAGAATCTACATTTTCTAGTGTCACCACACATTAGTCCTTTACCCACAATATATTATGACATATAACAGCATACTATTTCAAGAAGCTTTATCTGTATACTTTCCTTGTCAGTAAATAGGTAAATACCACATAGTTTTAATGGTGGAACTTCAAAGGGATGAACTTCTCTGACAGATAGGAATATTGCTCTTTTTCTTTTCTGTTTGAAACTCCAAACTCCTTCATGGTTAATATTCAGACCTTGTATTGAATAAAATACTGGGGAATTTTTTTTATTTTTTAATAGTAAATATTAAAGGAGAAACAACGTACTTGAAACAAGAAGCATGGAGACTAACAATGGGCATACAAAGTGTAATTGTCACACGTCTGGACACATCTGGTATAAAAGCTGCCAATTCCAAGAAACAAAAGTTAAGCAACTTTGTCAACAAGTATTTTTAATGATCCTTAGTACATTTTAAAGTAGCTTTAAATTCCATTCATTTTATCAGGTGATATAGCTTTCAAACCACTTTAATAATGATTATTTACATCCTACTGCCTGATATGTATTGATTCTATAACTTTTCTTTTCTAAAGTAGCAGGGAAATCAGCCCACTTCTTCCTGGTCAAGAGTGAAACAGCATGGCAGCATAGCCTATAACCAGATCCCTTATACTCTCCCAGTCGTTGTAGCTCATCTACTGTGTTTTCGATACTCAGAAATGAGCATAGTCTGATTTATTTTCCCCTGACATTTATTCCTTCTCCTAAAATCCTGAGCACTACCCAAATGAGCATCTTAATAAAAATTAAAAATAAGATAAAAGTCTTTCAGGCTGGATTCATTTCTGGGATATCATTAGAGCAAGTGCAAATGGCTTGTTACAAATTCTTTTTTGCATGATCGAAGTACCTGTGCATCTCAACAGAATTAAAGGAGCCCAATCACTTGACCCAAAGCATAAAAAAGCACAATTTGTGTAAAATTGAGAAAGTGTTTAGTTAACTTTGTAACTCTTTATATTTTTAATCCAATCACTAATTTTGCTGTTTTCTCTTCCTTTTTTTTAAATTTTCATTTTAGGGGAAAAGCTGATGCGATTCAGCTACCCAGATATCCATTTTGATATGAACCTAACGTATGAGAAGGAGGCTGAGCTGATGCAGTCTCATATGATGGACCAAGCCATCAACAATGCAATCACCTACCTTGGGGCTGAGGCCCTTCACCCTCTGATGCAGCACGCACCAAGCACAATCGCCGAGGTAGCCCCAGTTATAAGCTCAGCTTATTCTCAGGTCTATCATCCCAACAGGATAGAAAGACCCATTAGCAGGGAAACGTCTGATAGTCATGAAAACAACATGGATGGCCCCATCTCTCTCATCAGACCAAAGAGTCGACCCCAGGAAAGAGAGGCCTCTCCCAGCAATAGCTGCCTCGATTCTACTGACTCAGAGAGCAGCCACGATGACCACCAGTCCTACCAAGGAAACCCTGCCTTAAATCCCAAGAGGAAACAAAGCCCAGCTTACATGAAGGAGGATGTCAAGGCTTTGGATGCTACCAAGGCCACCAAGGGCTCTCTGAAGGACATCTATAAAGTTTTCAATGGAGAAGGAGAACAGATAAGGGCCTTCAAGTGTGAGCACTGCCGAGTCCTTTTCCTAGACCATGTCATGTACACCATTCACATGGGTTGCCATGGCTACCGGGACCCACTGGAATGCAACATCTGTGGCTACAGAAGCCAGGACCGTTATGAGTTTTCATCACACATTGTTCGAGGGGAGCACACATTCCACTAGGCCTTTTCATTTCAAAGGGGACCCCTATGAAGAACTGCACAGGAAGAAATACTGCACTTACAGTCCCACCTTTCCTCAGATGGTGACACACTTTCTCCTTAATTCTGTCACTGTCTATAATTCTTATTTTGTGGACAACATGTCATTTGCTCTGCCTAATTATATTAAGAAAGAAACAAGGGAAAAGGGATGGGATCTTCACTGATGCTGTGGCTTTTTTTTTTTTTTCTTGTGGGCCTCTAAAGCAGTTTGTTTCAGCCATGCATCCATATTAAGGCCTGCCATGCTTTGGAGAATCATTTGGTTCATAGAGATTCACCTAAAATATTCTGATTTGCCATTGATGTTCAGGATCGTGAGAGAAGGCAGGAAAGTTGAGAGTTTTCTGGTTAGGACTTTGGCAATTTGAAATGGCCTAAGTAATTTGATTCTCAAAGATGTTTCAAAATGTAAACCCATTTTTAATTTTCTGTTCTTAGAGATCATGGAACACAAACACATTGTTATTTTCAATAACTCCTTGGATGAGTTGACTTGTTGTGGGTTCTATGTTTACCTCCCCAACGGAATTTATAATTCAGTATGTTTTACACTGTATCATAGAGTAAAACTTTTAAACTACAGGTAGTTAAGGGCCACTACGATATGTCTGAGGTCCTTTGATCTTATTTTTCTAAACTTGCGCACTGTTTTTCCATAGTTTTGATGACTGGCATTTTATAGACACCCTGGCAGCCTTACTTTTAACACCTGTAACAAATAGTATTTTTATGTAGTTTTCAGAATCACATATGGTCTAAGAGTGGGTAAGAGGCAGTCAGTAATTTCCAGGAAGAATTCTGCTTTTCACAATTTGAGATTTTTTTTCTTTTAAGTCGTAATACGATGGTAGCCTAGTATCCATATTTGTTTCTAAAGGTGTGTTTACGATTGTCACTTTATCAGCATTTAATCAGTGTTAACCAGTCAGCAGAAAAGTGTAATTAGGCTAACAGTAGGGGGAAATCCCACTCTGAGAACCCTCTTCTGGTATTTTTCTTCAAGCTGTGACCACTCAGTGTTCTATCCATAGTCCATTCCTCTTTGACTTTTGGAATAGAAGATCTTAAGGCCTGACTATCCACTGCTTCTTTCTAAATCTGGGAGCAGCTAATTGGACCTGAATATGGTCACTTGAACCCTGGAAGGTCATTCATTAACTAGGGCTATTTATTCCACTATTTCTTCAGTAATAATGGTACTACCTTTGCTGCAGACAAAAGGGAACTTCTTTGTAACCTTAATATCACACTGCAGGTCAAACAAAAGAGCATCAAAGTTTTCTTTTACCCTTCTTGGAGTTAAGAAAGTGACAGTCTTCAGGTAAGGTCCTGCACTTTAAAAAATTCAACTCTAAAAGTCCTTGTCAGAAAGGCATCGAAATCCCTTAGTAGAGAATTATCTGCCCTCTCTTTATTTGCACAAGGCATATACTTCCATGTTTCATGTGCAGGTTTTAAGGTGATCTCTCTGAGTGCTTGGCTTTCTCTCTGGAGTCCACTGGCATTTGTGAGTGGGATTGGAGCACACTGTTCTCAAGTCAGTTGGGAGAATGCATTTGGCAGACATAACTTGTTGCGTGAGTTTGAGGAAAACAGCCTGACCATGACTGGATTATCTGATAGCCATTTGTAAATGCAGAAGGTCTGCTAAACAGTAACAAATAAGTGCTCCAACTGGCCCTTGAATAGGATGCTGAAGCCATGGAACTGCAAGGTGACCTGGGCAGGATCAGGAACTATTCACTGATGAGCAAGCAGTGTTCTCTTAACTGGCTTTGCAAGTTTCCATCTGTTCACTTGAAGAACTTTTTAGCTCTAACATAGCTGGAGCTAGGTAGAAAAGTTCTGAATTATCTCTTTTACTAATCCCTACCTTAGTTATTTCTGGACAAATTGTCCAAATGGTTCCCTTACTTGTAAGAGAATGCACCAAAATAGAGATATAGCGGATGCCAACTATTGGTTTTTTTTTTTTTTTTTTTTAATCCCTTGGTAATTTGTGAAAACACAGTTTACTCAGGGAGAAAGCATCTTGTCAAGACTCCCTTACCCCCAGTTCTACCCTGCACACTCTGGAATCCTAATGGAAATGACATTTATGCTTGAATGAGGTAAACAATGTTAAGGCTTATGATTTTTCGGTTTTTTGCAATTTAACAAAGCATTTGGATGTCTGTCAATGTGTTCATAATTTTGGCCCTGTGAATTTCTGCTGGCATCCATTTTATCAATTTTCTTCATTTTCTCTCCTCATACCTACTGTATTAACAATCATGATCTGCCTGCCCTTGGATTAAACTGAATTTAGGTGTACCTAAAGATTTGTGTACTACCCCTTTGAAGATGGTACGAACATACTCCCTACCTTTCTAATTCCATCTTAGTGGAAAACCTGATTTATTCAAAAAATCAGCTATGAAGGTGTATCTGCTATTCGTATACACTAGCATTTTTTTTTAAGATGCATGACTTAAGGTAGAAAAAAAAAAAAAAAAAAAAAAAAAAACAGATGGCTCAGGTGTGACAGAGACAAATGAGGACAAAGTGAATTCAAAGTTTGTAGGTTACAGTGAATTTTGTGGACGTAGTGCTGTCTGAGGGACTCTCAATGACTTTTTCACCAAAGAGAATAGGTGACATGGTAGCACCTAAAAATAAATGTGAGGGCCAGATACCAAATAAATCAAATTTGCATAACACTTACAAACCCAGTTTATTTAGGTGAGATTTAACAGTTGAGTGAGTGTTTGAGGGGCATGAAAATGGGTTACCCTCTGTGTTTTCCAGTTTGGCAGAAATTTATCAGCTGATTCTGTCCTAATTTTGCCGAATTTTTTTTTTGTTTTGTTATCACCAGTTCTTTCTGGAGAAACACACTGCCTCTCTGTAATTGTGATGAATTGCTGTTTGAAAGGTCTTCTAGAACAGTGACCAGCACCATGAGCAGTAGAGAGAGGCAGGAAGCACTGTCGTTCAAACATTCCGTTGAGAATTTTCTGAATAAAACGGGCTGTTTTAATGCATTAAAGTTTGCAGGCACGTGTGTATCACACATTCTTTTAATGAAGATTCATGAAAAGAAGCGGTTAGCATCACCAGATGTGTTACAAAAGCTTAGAAGTAAGAGTACAGTTAATATATCAGCACTTAGGTCTTCTTTACCAGGTTGTATTAAGAAATCCCGAAGTTGGCAGTGTATATTTAGGGCTAGTGGCAAATTAAATCCCATGTTTCCATTGTCTACATCCAGGGGGCAGGAGGGTTTTAACCTGTGAGAATTTAAAGAAATACAGATTCTTTTGTTTTGTTTTGTTTTCTTTTAGAGAGGAAGAAAATACAGGAAATGATTTAGCAATTTTGTCCTGTATTTGTGCTTTTTTGTGTCACAGTTGGGTACCTCACAAAACCTTGACTTTTGTGTGTTTTAAATTTTAACTCTATATTTCCCAAGTCTTACTTCATCTTATCTCCAAAATGGTAAGTTATGTTAGAAAGATAAGCAGAGGAGGCTGTACTGGACCAGGGAAGCTGCCTGCCCCTAGATTCAGGACAGTGCCTAGACTATCAGGACATCTGACTACACATTTTTTAGCCCTGAATTATTCATTATTATGAAATTGTAGATTTGTGGTCGTCATCATTTATATTTCACGTTATTTTAACACATACTGCCTGTGTATTCTACAGTAAAAACTCCCCGTATTCAAAAGGGAAAAAAATAAAGTGAGGGGTAAATTTAAGCTTTGTATATATAAAAGTTATTTTATAAATATTTTAGTCTTCCAGTTTCTGCAAAATAATTAAAATATACAGTAACTGGTCTCAAATTCTGAATTTAATGTATTAAATACTTATAAAATTTTCTATTGGTGCCTTTTAAAATTTCATTGAGAGTGTTGGTGAGCTGGTTTAGCTCTACCAACTTTTCCTGTGTATTTAAAAAGAAAATCACATAAAATTTAAGTACTCTCTAATTCATCTTTGTGATCTTAGCAAAAAAAAAAAAAAGGGGGGGGGGAACTGCTAAAAGAATTTCCAAACTTTCAGCTGAGCTGGCAAAAGTGACAGGAAACTTTGAAACCAGATTTTAATCTTTTTTAGCTTGATAATATTTCTGAACACTATTATATGATAGAGGAGAAATAGAAGGCAGAGTCGCATGTCAGCAGCAAATTGAACTCTACTGTGTTTTTGCTTTATTCTTGAGGAAGAATTGGTTGGCATCACACAGGGTTTCTTTGTAGAATTTGGGGTCAATAATTACAGTATTGTTTTGCATTTCTTATGCCTAACTAGTGTTACTCTAGTCTTGGATCCAATGTCTTCTCACCAGTGGTTGGTTTATGAGATAATGTGGAAATACGATCACTGTTTCCCTCTTGAACAAGACAAAACTCAGCACACATGTCACAAAGCCCTTCTCGGAAGTGTCACCTCAGATGTTTAGGACAGGGTTTGTCTGTCACTTGTGAGGGTGTCTTCAACTATGACAGCGTTTCTAAAAATGAGCTGCTGGTTGTATAAAGTAGACATCATGTGACCAAGAAGCTGTGATATACTGGTGTTTCCTTCTGTCGTAGTGTACTCTTAGGCCAAATTAGTGACACCTTGAATATTTTTACATTTATTACAGAGACCTAAAATTTTGGAATTTCCACAAGGTTTTTATGTAACATTCTATTTCTAGTGGTTTTGTGTTCTCTTGCTGCACTGTGAGTTTGTGGGTATTTTTCCATATGCACTCTTAGAAATGAGTTCTTAATTCTATTTATGGTGTCTTTCTCCCATTATACTCTACTGGTGTATGTTCTGTACAAGTTTGCTATGAATTCACCTTTATCCCATATAGACAGTGGTACATGAACTATTAGTTTCCTAAGATGAGTTTTATATTATGAATTAATATGAAAATTTAGAGGTCTTATGCTAAATCACAGTAAGTACAGAATAAAAACTTCCTATAGGTACAAATAAGCCAGTTTGCAGTCAATCAGGCCTTCAGTTTACCTCACATAACACAGAGTAAGGAAAGCTTGGACAGACGGCGGTCACTGAATCCACTACTATGCACTTACTAGGATATCACTGAGTTTCATTTACTGGAAATGGATTTTAAAATGAATACACTGTAACTGTAAGGAGAAAAGGAATATAGGGGTTGCTGATAATTTTGTTGATTTTTTTTTTTAAGTTTTTCAAATTACGAAACTGTGATCTAAAAAAAGTTTTGGCTGTGGAGCACTTGAGATTTTGTATGTCAATCACGTGCCCCCCTTCTGTATGAATAAGTTGGGTTTTTACCTCCTTGGTTGTCACTTCCTCTTACATCTTTGTGTTCACTCTGTTCACAGCCCTTCTGCCATTGTCTTTGGATGTCTTTCTTGACGCTCCTAAGAGTCGGAAGAGGGGGTCAACTCTGAACCTCTGATCCATTAAGTCTTAATTTTTTTGGTAGTTTTTCTTAGCTCTATAATCTTCTGGTGTATTTTTATACTCAAGTGTAGTTTTATATTTTTAAAGCTTGGTTGGGTTGCTATGGTAAGCTATCTAGTTCTTATTTTGCTTAATTATCAAGTATGAGGCACCTAACATGACTCCAGAGGTTCTGCAGAGTATATGTCTGGTTCATGTTTGCTTGTATTTTAAATTGCTTGGCTTTCTTCTAAAATACAAGTCATAAAAAATAACTTCCCCCCAAGCACTTAGAAAGAAGATAAAAATGTAGAGTCTTAACTTACTTCCCACTGTGGGGACAAGTGCTTTAGCAGTAATATTCCAAACACAAAGAGGGTTTCCAGGCCCTGGGCTTGCTAAAATAGTCCAGCCTTTTAAACCATGTGTTATTTGCAGTTTCAGAAGGGTTATTTCCACTATCTACTTTAACAGATATTCTTTCTGTCCATAAAAGTGCAATACCCCTCTTGAAGTCTTAAAAACTATGGTAATTTTTCTGACATTTCTTCTTTAGCCAATGACAAAAAGAAACCGCTGGAAATTAAACATGTCAAAGGACATAACAAGCAAAGATAAAAAACACTCCACTATCTAAAGATTAGAAAATGTAGAAACAAATGACTTCTCTGACTTTCTGGAAGCTTCTTTTACCCTAAATAAACTTTGAAATCATGAGTTAGAATTATATCCTGTCTTGAAATCTGAACAGACTGGATTTTTCTCTCCCAATCTTGCCTAATGCTCTTAAGTTAAGTAACTAATATTTAATGTTTTTATTTCTTGTCCTTTTGGAAAATAAATATCAAAGCACTTCGGTCAGGTTTAAATCCATATTACCTGTTGAAGAAAAAATTTTAAATATTTGAAGCAGTCCTGTTTTCATGCAGATTGAGAAATATCTTTTGTATCATTCATATTTATATGCAGTGTGCTCTTTTCTTTATTTTTAATACCTGTGTTCCTGTAGTAAAACTGCTGTAATGTAAATACATGTTTTGTTAAAAAGTAACATTTCTTTGGCATTTCTTTTGAGGCATTTACTGCATTTGTACAGTATGTGTCTTGGCTACTTAACTTTTTTTCTTTAACAATACCAAAGGTAATTAGACTATTTTAAGGACTAATTGCTTGTCAGTTTCTAGAATACTTTGATTTTTTTAGAAGAAAAAAGGAAAAAAATCAAACCAGTAAACCTCATTTTTTCAAACTAATAATTTGGGGAAATAAAAACTATTGTTTAAAAAGGAATATATATATAAATATCTGTAAAATTAAAATTCCAGACCTTGTATGTCAGGTTTGCTCAGTGTAATGTAGGGTTTTTGTTTTTGTTTTTGTTTTTTTAAGGCTCAAATACCTCAGAAAATGGGGTTTACTGTGGAAAGATTGCAACAGTCTCTGCAGCTGTGTGAGCTGTCACTTTGCTGCATACTGATTGGGAGACCTCCACTAAACAGTTTTATCACTGCAGACTAAAATGTGGGACTTGTATTTTCTTTGTTTTTAATGCAGACACATACACGCTCTGTGCGTGTACGTGGGTACTGTGTATATGTGTGTGAGTGTTGTATATGCATGTGTGAATGTGTGTATGTGTGTACAACTGAAGAAGCTGCAGAAACTTTGTAATACTTTGTGAAAGGGTTATATTATAAAGGTTTGTACTGTCTGAGTGCACAGCTACTGGAATAAATTTAGCCAATCTCAGGAACAAGCATATAATTTGTCCAAGATTTATTTCTTCTCAGAAGTGTAAGTGCAGTTTTTAATTCTGTATATTATTTAATATTTTACCAATAAAATAAACTTCTGACAGAAACTGTTTGTTATAAAAACTTTCTGTTGAAAATTCTGTACACAAACCCATCGCTCCAGTCACTGAATTTGTGAATAGTGGTTTGGTCATTACCATTGTGTGTGTGTGTCTCAGTCCTGTCCTGGAGCACTGATATGTGTGACCTCACAGTCCTCCATCTCAATGACTAGCTGCTCCCTCACACTTTGTAGAGTCTCCTATGGCAGAGAACAGGCTATCACATGTTTTGTCAAGAATGGAATCTCTATTCTTTGGATAATTCTCATGTAAACCTGTTTTTAACTTTAAAATTAATCTAAGATATCTCTATATCAGAGTCTCACTTCTTTTTTTAAAAGACATCAGTCAGAAGGAAAGAAAAGTGTAGCTTACTTCAGATTTCCCCTGAGTAACACATGTGGTCCAAGCTTTGTCCAGTAATAATATTATAAAACAGAATTTCTTAGTAGTCAGAACAGAACAAAATCTTGTTAAAAAATCATGGAGTAAGGCATAGGTTGGTAGTAGCATTGAGTAGGTTTGATTGCTAGCTGTACTTCATGTAGCTCTACCCCTCATGCCTCAAATTCCATAAGGACTGTATCTTTTCCATGAGAAGATTGTTCCATTACAAAGATAATTCCCGAGTAGAAATCCAAAAGGGTCCAGATGACTGAAAATTTATTTCACTTAGCTTCAGCTATCTGCTTTGCTCTTGTGCCAAGTGATGAAGTCCCACACACATTTGAGATAGCTGTTAAATTTTCTTTGGTACATATTTACAGAACCCGTAGATATTTGCAATAGTTCTCAATAAATTCACTTCCATATGTCACACGGAATGAGAGATAGTACAAATTTAAATGAACATGTGTAACCTCGACCAGAGCATCTTTCAAAATAGAAGCCTGTGGCTGGAGAGGGGTGAATGAGAAATAGCAAGCAGAAAAAAACTTACCAAATTACTACTAGTACTAGGTTTAGGAAGGGCCTTTCTCAACCAAAAATGTTAGGCTCTGGCTATTAAGAAGAGCCAAATCTTTTTTAAAAAAAATTTGAACGTCCCTTATGCTCTTGAATTTCACTGAAATCCAATAAGTAGCAAGATGACATCTCCATATACTTATCAACATGCTCGAGGCAAAGGCTCTGTCCCGAGGGAAAAGTCACTTGATGAAACAATTTCATGGAGTGTTTTAACAATGCTCCTGCCTGTTGTTCCTGCCCTAAATGTCAACAAAACCCCATAGTAGCCCTAAGGGGAGTTACTTTATTTTCAATGTTCTTTATTTTCAATCTAAATTTGACAGGTAGGCTTTCACAATGCCTGAGGGAGGTGTTTGCCTAAACTTTCTAATGGGCAAAAAGGAAATAAAATCATTTGGAAACCCACAAGCCCATGGAAAATTGGATAAAGTTAGGGGCAAATCCAAAGAGGTACTTGCTCTGAAAAATGTCAACATGCCAGCATCCATTTCTTCTTCCTGTGTCTTTTCTTTTCTTTTTCTTTTTTGGTTTTACAAGACAGTGTTTTGGATCCTATCCTGGAACTTGCTCTGTAGACCTGCTGGACTCAAACTCACAGAGATCTGCCTACCTCTGGCATGTGTTTTATACCCCTGGACAATGTCTCCCATCAAACCAATTGCTTTTAAATTCAGCTTTAGCAGGCAAAATCTAAGCCTCTCAAAATAGTAAGAACAGATGATTGCCCAAACTGGTATTGAGATGTTTGTTCTAGAAACCCTTAGAAGAGCTGTTTGAGCATGAC